GAGAGAGAGACAGAGAGAGAGAGAAGAAGAAGAAGAGCGCTGAGGGAAGGGGGTGGGAATAGGCAAAGGAGGTGGCTGTAAGCCAACCCAACCTCAACACACACATATGCACACACACACACAGTTTTCTCTACTCACGCAAGCCTTGTGAGAGGGGGGTGGGGGGGTGGACTGCTGTGCTGCACAGCGCTCGCATGTTCAGGTCTGCAGTTCTTCTTTACAAGCGAAAAACACAACAGAGGATCTGCTGCCAAAAGATGGCACCCATGCTGCTGAAATCAGAGACACAGAGCCTGAACACAGAAACGTAACACGGATGTGAGACATTTGGAAAACAGAGAAGATAAAATTTCTTCCATATTTGGACCAAATTTCTCACTGTTAGTGGTTGAGGAAGTATTTAGCACTTAAATAAAAGTAGTGAAATATTAGATTCTCAAGTAAAAGTCCTGCATTAACTTAACTAAAACTTAGGGAGTGTTTTATTCGCAAAAGTAATTAAAAGTAATGCTCATAAGGCAGGAAAATGCCCCCTGTAACTTTTGTTGAACTATTTCACTATATTTTTTGGATTATCATTAGCTATCCTTTAATGTGTAAGTACCATATTACTGTTGTAGCTGGTAGAGCTAATTTGAACTATTTATATATATATATATATACAGTATATATATATATATATATATACACTGTTGCTCATAAAGTTGGAATGAAATATATTTTACCTCTTTCCATGAAATGATTGTAACAATGTGATTTATCCTTGACAGATAAAGTGTATATCTTCTCAAAACTTTAGTAGTCAATGTCTTCCAAACATATCACAATGAAAATGAAATCACAATTAAATTGAAAACAAAGTTATTCCAACTTTATGGGCAACAGTGTATTATATATATATATATATATATACTGTTGGGTTTGATTTACAACAATGAATCATATTCTTTAAATTTGTCATATGTTTTGTATGTTAAATTAAATGAATCTGTAAAATGACTAGTAAGTGAGCACAGTGCAGTACAGCAGGAGAAATGTACTTGCAGTTGCTTTAAAAAAGTTTTACCAAAATGACTTATTTATTTATTTATTTAACCTCAAATAGACTGGATCAATTTCAGCTACAGATTCCTTGAAACGGGCAGAGAGCTTAAAGCTTTTAAAAATGGCAGCACTAACCACCTGTTTGACTCCATGTGGAGTTGCGTGTATAGCAGGATGGTAGGTCCCAGGTTAAAACTGTGCAGCAGCTAGTGTTATGTCTATGAGCAGCCATGTATGAATACTTACCTGCTCCTCACTGCACATTGCTCTTGATAAGAGCATGAGCTAAAGAGCGGACCTGGGGTATTATCTACCATTCAGTTCAAAATGCATGCTCCTCTTGTACTCACGATTTATGAAACAGTTAGAGTCGTGCGACACTCCTCAGGAGCACTCCTCAACATAATGTCATGCCATCTTTGAGTCTAATGCTCTAATGTACAGGATTGTATTCAAATATTCATCTCATCATTTTGTGAGACACTTCTTTGTGTTTTATTATCTCCAGAATAAAAGCATGTTAGTGACACTATGAGCCTGCAGAGACCACCCCACCCCCCACCCCTCCACCCCCCAGCCCATCTCCTTTTCTCCAGTCTCTATCTTCTTACTGAGGGTTTCTTTTTTCTCTCTTTTCTGTTTTCTCTTTTTGGGCTGTTATTGATAGTGTGGGAGGAAGTGGCTTCAAGAGAGGCTGTTGAAAACAGGCAAACACCTCCTGACTGTGCTGTGCTGTATCCGCATGCTTCATGGCCAAACTCACCTCACCCCCTAGAGGCTGCACAAATTAATACCTGATTAATGAGGCCTGCGTCTTGAACTCACACACACAAACACTCACATACTCCTTTTTTTTTTGCTGCTTGTTTCAAAGACACAGGCAACAAGTAGCCGTGAAGGTTTTGTAGAACAGGAGCAAATTTACCTGCTTTTCCATCTTAACAGGAGCAGTAGAGATAAACTTCAGCAGTCTAAAGCAGTTACTCACAAATCTCCTCATCTTTTCCCACCACATTCCCCTTTGTAATATCAGATTTCAAGAAATCAGACTTATCTGATGTCATGTGTAGTCCCTCATCCAAGGTGTTCTCTGAGACTTAATTGTGCAAATTGAGGCATGCTGAAGCTCAATATTTGGTGGGTGGTCCCTAATATTTTGTGTACTCAGTGGAAGTGGAAAGACAGACCTGGCCGACCACAGGAGCTAGACACTTTCAGCCTCACCCTTTGGCAGCATCTACATCCCGCTGCTTTTCTACTTTTTTTTTCTTTTTTTTTTCAACTAACACCCACTCCTCACATAAACGCCTCACCATTACCTACTCTGTTTTCCTTTTTGGACCAGAGAGGGAGAAAATAGAGGCAAAGAAAAGCAAACCTGAAGACACGAGTGTTGAATAAAGCCTGTATTGTTGGCAGAGGAAGTGCTGGTGCCGATAATTAATCATCCCGTATATTTGTCTTTCCTGACGCTGCATCCTCTCCAAAAGCTGCCGTAAGAGAGAAAACAAAAACACATGAGGCGTTGAAGGAGGAAAATAAAGAAGCTTATTAGATTCATTTCCCACTGCAATGGTTTCCACTGGTTGGATGATAGTGCGGTGATTGAGTAGAATGGCTTTGTGTGTATGTGTGGCTGTCTGAGTCTGTTTGTTTGTGCATGTTTGCACCTAGTGGAGGTGATGACAAAATACTTTACATTATTACTGGCACTTATGAGTTTGTGAAGTCGCCTGTCATCAGCATTTGACCGGGTTTATAATTTCAATCGGTATTTCCACATATAGAGTGAATAAACCTGATGTTGCTGTTACAGGGGGAATAAATGATTAAACATGAAAAAAATTAATCCTGACAAAATGTATGGATAAAAAAAAAAGAAGAAAGAAACAAGGCGCATTAACTTTGCGTGCTTCAGAGTGGATTTAAGAGTAGGGGAAACTCTTCCAGCATCACGAAATCAGTTGTCGATCGCCTGCGTTGCTGAGTTGAACAAAGAAAGGATGGAGAGATGATGAGGAGGAGGAGGGTGGAAGAAGGGTGGATGGGTAGGGGGGAGGAGGGACAGAGGATAGGAGATGGTAGAAGGTTAAAGGGGGAGGAATGGAAGCCGTAATGGGGTTACTCAGTGGGGGTGGGGTCTATATACGAAGCATCGAAAGATTCATACATACATACATACATAGTTTTTCATAATGAGGCTGTGGTGTGCGAGTGCGTGTGTGTTGCGTGACTAATCTGTGCCTGCTACAATGAGTGACGGAGCGAAGGGCTGATCTCTTGGAGTGAGCCACATGCCCCCTGACAGCACACCCATAAGAGAAACACGCAAACATGCCTGCAACACGCAACACACACGTCACCAGCGCACATGTGACAGTTCTGCACGCCATAGTCGTATAGGCTAATTGCATGTAAACACACACTGGCATGGTAGTAAGTAGGCCTTACTATAAGGGGGGAAGAGCATAGCGTATGGATAGTGATTTTTAAGACTTTGGTAAATATTTTAACTTTATTTAAGATCAGCTGGTGCAGAGGAGCAGGTGTTCGATGGAGAGACGGACTGACATTCTCCTGAGTTGGAGTTTAATGTTTGAAGAGGTCACATTGTTGAGAGCATAAACCAAGATTAGAAATGCCAGATGGGATCATTACTTGTCCAGTAAAATTATTCTTCCTTTAGCATCGGGGCCCTTAAGGAGTTTTCAGAAGACACTACACTTTGAGATCCATAGGTGAAATTTTCTTTTGGGCTGGCCCCCCTCCACCTAAAGGCCAGAGGTCAGACTCAGCTAAGAGAGCAGCAGGAGCAGCAGCAACAACTGAAAGCTGTCATTTCAGCAGGGATGAAGTTTGAATTTAGTGAATGAACAACATTCTAATATTTTCCATATTTTATTTTATGTTATTTCTGTCTACTCTCTACAGACACTATACGTTCCTCTCCATCCTCTGCTGCTGTTATTTAAGTTTCTTCCTTTTTATCTGATAAGAGAGTCTTAGAATAGAGAGAGATATTGCGCATACTGTGAATTCCTATTGAGGCAAAATGTGATTTTGGCTCATATAAAATAGAGTGCAATACAGTCAATCTTAACAAATAATCTCCTATTCAGTTTTCAGACCAATTAAAAACTTTTGACAGTGTTTAGTTGCTTCTTTTTTTTGTTGCAAAAGTTTTGCTTGTATGACACTTCCTTCACGGAACTGTTTGAATAAGATTTACACCACAAATAAAGGACTTTTCTTATTTCAGTATGTAAAACTTAAATAAAAACAGCATCAACAAAAAAAAGCATAAAATTATATATTTTGCATTGTGCACAAGCCTGTGTTGCATTTGTGTTTGTACAACCACTTCATGCTGCTCAACAATCACCCAGAAATCCCAAAATGCACCAGGTGCTGTCCTCTACCTCACTCTGAACCAGTGCGCTGTCCATGTGCATGTGGCAATATCGTGTGAGAGCAATCCTGTAAAGTCATGAAATCCTCCACTGTTTTGTCTTGTTAGACAGGCCCACCACACAGACTAATACCTGGCATTAGTGCTGTGCAAAAAGAGAGTGATACTGTTAATATGCCAGCCATATGTCTGAGTGCCGGCCCAGCTCTCTCACTGCTGGTATCACACTGGTTGGGGGAGAACTGGCAAGTACACAAAACAGAGTCATTGTTGTCATTCACAACCTTTTACTGGTCTTAGTGTATGCTCTGTATTCTGTGTGCAGCAGTGCAATGTATTAAAGAATTCGACCTATGTGAGGTGTGCTTGATTTTACTTTCCAGGACTTACATTAGCACATATCCCTGCTTGTATAAGGTTATGGTTAGGGTTATCATTTTCTGCATCCTTAAACCCACTGATTGCTACTAATTTTTCGGTTTAATATAAGTGAGTCCCTTATATCAGCCTATTGACTCCTTTCTATTTTTTTTTTTTTTTTTTACAGCAAGCCAAGATAAGACCTCCAGGAAGCATATCATCGGCACAGCATCCACTAACCCTGAACCCAGGAAAGAGAGTCTTCCACTGGGCAACACTGTCAATGAAAGCAGCCTCCTCCTGGAAGTAAGAAACCACATGGCTGTTGTTTGTATGTCTTTCTTGTGAAATACACTGTTGCTCATAAAGTTGGAATAAAATATTTTTTACCTCTTTCCATGAAATGATTGTGACAATGTGATTTATTCTTGACAGATAAAGTGTATATCTTCTCAAAACTTTAGTAGTCAATCTGTTCCAAAGCGATTACTGATGCATTTAAATAGGAATAAACAGAGGACTGTGTCTGAAAACAAAATTATTCCAACTTTATGGGCAACAGTGTACTTCAGTGTGTATATATATGTGTGTGTTTCTAACCATTGTTCATGTTGACTTGAAAAGATAGTATCATGTGTATGCAAATACTGTCCTGGAGTTATTAAAATAATATCAGTTTTTGCTGAACACGTCACCGTCAGTGAAACGATGAAGCGCTCCCTAGCTGGCATACACGCCAGAGAGGAGACCATCTGCGTCTGAGTGAGTCAGTGTGAATTGGGAAAGGGGGGAGGGAGGGTTTTTGTATGTTAGTGTATGTGTGTGTGTGTTTGTGTGTGTGCCCTTCGCCCTTTGCCCCGACCCCCTTTGCGGAGCTGTGGTGTTGCGTGACATACGGGTGAGACGGGAGTGTCAGAGCTGATGAAGGAGGTGGGGATTCACACACGCTGGCAGCCTGAGAAGCCAGTGAAGTGTGTGTGTGTGTGTTTGTGTGTGTGTGTGTGTGTGTGTGTGTGTGTGTGTGTGTGTGTGTGTGTGTGTGTGTGTGTGTGTGAGTGCATCTCTGTCTGAATGGATGTGATCGTGTGTGAAAGTGAGCAGAAGAGAGTGAGAAGAACACACCAAGCCTGTCAACAGCAATCAGTGCAAAAATAAGATCTGTGTTTCATCAGTTGACCTCTGACCTTTAATCAGACTGTAACTACAGATAAATTATAACTGAAAATATTTCACTTAATTTGGAGAACAAGTAATTTCTTGTTACTTTGATATGATATCAGGATACCCTGTTGTACTTGGCTGTGACCAGTGACGCGCACATGCACATGATGAGTATTTTGAATATATTATACATAAAACATGTAAAGTCATGTTGTTAAATTTGAAGATAGGCAAACGTTTGTGCTGAAGGCATCAGAGCAGACACGTCGTCATAATCAGACACATACAGCAGCACGCTATATGGGAATTGCTCGAACATCAGATCATTGTTACACACTCAATATCCTAATGGCTATCTGTCAAACAACAAATTATGACACTGATCACTGGCCAACAACTGTGAGCGCTCTCTCTCACACACACATACACACACACACACACACACACACACACACACACACACACACACACACACACACACACACACACACAGAACAGAGCAAGTTTGTCCCTCCGCTCTCTCTCACACACACATACACACACACACACACACACACACACACACACACACACACACACACACACACACACACACACACACAGAACAGAGCAAAGTTGTTCCACTGCTGCTTCTCTTAACGTGTTAGGTTGTCTCAATGGGATGGTAAACAAAAGGCTAGATTGACCGTAGTGATGCGCTGCCTCCCGTTGCGTGACTCAACCTGCGCCGGGGCCTCAAAGCAAACTAAAGCATTAGTTGTTATGGTGATGGGATCCCAAGAGAGGGTAGAGACAAGACATTTGTGTGTGTGTGTGTGTGTGTGTGTGTTCGGTGGCATTGCATGTCTTTGTGTGTGTGAGTTATGGTAACTTTGCTGAGGTGTACTAACAGGTGCAGTGAGTACAAATAATGGAAATTCAAAATATATACATATATCATATCAGAAAAATGTTCGCTCTATAGGCTGAGATGGAAAAGAAAACTCAAATTACTGTTTACGACTGATAAATAGACACAAATGAATACATGGAACAAATATAAATGCCATAATTCCGTCACGTTTTCCACATTGTTGTGGTTTATTTGAGGTTTTAATGTAGTATTCTTCAATGGCTTAACAGCACCAGATTGGAGAATTAGCAGCACGACTGTTCATCTCAATGTGCCCAGTTCCTTATATTCATATCACAGCAGTGATGCATTCATTTGCATTTTCTTTTGCCAACTGTCTGGTTTAATTTGCACTACATTTGGATGGAAACTTGGCTAAAGATAACATAATACGATGTCAAGCAGAATGTTACCATTGTTATTTAACATCTTAGTTTATCGTGTTAACATTACAAGTACAGCTGAGGCTGATGCAAATCTCATTAGCTTTGCATGCATTTTGTCTTAAACCAAAGTATTTGACAAACTGAAGCTTTAATCTGATGATGGTGCTGTATGAAAAATTAAAGTGTGATCAGAGTTTTAGCAGTTTATCCCGAGGGGGGCATGGATATCTGCACCAAATGTCACAGCAATCCACCCAATAGTTTCTGAGACATTTCACTCAAAACAAAAAATGGCAACTTCATGGTGGCACTAGAGGCTGACTGACCTAAGCATGGCCCAACGTGGGATACTCACTTTCATTATACTGGAACTTTTTAAAACATCACTCACTATATCAGAATCCCATGTTACCTTCGCATGTGTGTGCAGGATGCGGGTGTGTTCCTGGTGGGCGAAGGTCTCCGTGTTTGTTATGACCTCATAATCGCTGCTTTCATCTCACTGTGACAGCTAGACAGACAGGAAAACCAAAGACACCCTGTTGAAACAATGAGACAAGGCTGCCCAATCACCATCATCACTCCTTCTTTTCCTCCTCCTCCTCCACCTCTTCCTCCCCTGCGCGGCTTCCAGATTCAGTGAACATATATTTTATTTTGGGCTCTGCATGCAAAGCGCCTCCTAAGATTTGTAAGTCAAAGCTTTTAGTCTCCCCGGGGTGCTGTTGTTGCAGATATGTGGTGGAGCAGGCCAGCAGCAGGTGCCTGTTTCCATTACCTAAAGGCTTCAGAATGTGAGGAACTGAGGGAAATGTGAATGGAGAAAACACACAAAAACAGCATGCAGCACAGTGCAGCCAGTATCAGTTTGTTCTTTCTGTCTTTCTTTCCTTTCTCTTTTCCTACTCCAAAAGAACAAGGGCCAATCAGATGCGCTTGGTTGTTTTTATAATGAAAGTAGAATAATAATTATTATAGTTGAATAGTCATTTTTTCAGTTGCTCTTTCCAGCTCTGTATCTGTGAAATAAATTGTAAATGGTCTGTCCTGTTCCAATATAAATGATGGGTGTTCCCATAATGGTTTTGGACGTGAAAAATATATGTTCTGTATCCATCTGTAATGTATTTGCTGTTCCATTTTGGAAAGCAAGTCAACCTACAAAATATACTGTGTTTGCCGGCTCATACTCTTTCAGGTCACAAGTCCAAAGCCTGTTTGTTCCAGGAGAATAAAAATGTCAAAGTCATTTAAAAAAGAAAATGTGTTGCAGAATTTTACTGTGGCCTTTCAGTGACTTGGAAGAGAAATGGAGAAAGGTGAACTGGCTAAATAAACCGAGATGAACCCAGCATGTAAATTCTGGCCTTTTTATGGCCTTGTAGGACCTCATAAAGGCAACATCACATTCCAGTATATTCAGGACATTTTTATGTCCATTGTTTGGACACAAATCCCAGATCGCTGAGTCGTTTAAGCCTCAAAATTCCCTTGTTATATGAACACATGCTCTGTAACTGGACTGTAAACTTTTCAGTATGGCACATATGGATATGAATGAATCAGATAGATTTTAATTAGACAAGCAATATGACAGCTTTGGGCTGCATTACACAGCAAAAAGTTACACTGCTTAAATACCTTATCCCGCTTGAGACACATGATTTTTGATTAGTAAAGATCCCAGATAATGAAATTCTTGGCCTGAAAACCATACCTTTGAAATGTTGCATTTGGACAAAATACACTGTTTTCCTAAGACATGCTGTAACCAGATGTTTGTACAGCAATGAAAATTTAGTATATTTAAAATTATACTAAGCAGTATTAATTCCACATTAGTTTCTCAGTGGTCCAGAAGGTGCTGTCTGCCTTTGGCTGCACGGTGACTTTAGAGTCAGGCTCGAAATCACAAAAGGGAAATTGTTTACAAAGCAGATATGTTTGTGTATGTTTAAGTTCTCATAAAAGTGGTGGCATCATTTGTCTTTGAGCGCTTGCTGGAGGAAGCTGTGCGTGTGTGTGTGTGTGTGTTTGGGGGGGGGGGGGGGGGGGTCAGGATGTCAGGAATATGTGCCAGTTAAACTTGTCAAACAACATCTGCTTCCACGCCACCGAGGACCTGAGTAGGCGTCTCATCTCCGCCCCCCTCTCCTCCTCATCGCGCTTTCATATGTTTTTCAGATATTGTCGTGTATAGTCCAGATATTTGTCTGTGACAGTGTCGCTATGTCAGATACCTCTAGGTTTTAGGACTACAAATTGGTCTGTCCGCAGAGCAGATATCAGAGTACACTGTGTGGTCAGGATGGAGCATGTGCAGTGAGCAGAGCATTACACTGCTTGCTCAGGCAATCAGATCATTGTTGGGAGAAACTGAAAGAAGGAGACGTAGAAGAAAAGTGAGTATGAATTTAGAGGCCAGAGGGATATATACCACATGAAACACACACACACACACACTCACCAGGGAAGACCTGCATAGTCTCGCAGTAAAATAGAGGTGACACACTCTGGCAGCCACAGTCACGCAAGTCAAGTAGCCCTGCAGTTGTCACGCTATCGCAGCTATGTGCACAAACACACACACGCACACACACACACACACACACACACACACACACACACACACACGCACACACACGCACACACACACACACACACACACACACACACACACACACACACACACACACACACACACAAACACACTGTTAGACCTCTCCCCCTCTCCCACGTCTCCTTCCTGTGCTGTCTTTTTTCTCTCACACCCTTGCTTCACTCCTCATCCCTCCATCCCTTCTCATTTGACTGAAGCCAGTTATGTATTTATTTGAAATTTTCTTTTTAATCAACACTTGTCTCTGTAAGCTGTGCTGGCCAAACACATTATTCCCCCTTGTGTGCACGGGAATGAGGCTGTGTTTGTGTCTGGAGTTTCTCTGCTTTTAATCAGTGTGTTTAGTATCACAAATCAAAGCGTGTTACCAGTCAAACAGACTTAATCATCAAAGTTTCTAACTCATGAAATGCGTTAGTTTAGAGGGGAGCAAATCGGTGTGTATGTCATCCTCAAGTCAACTGCTTTAAAATACCATGAATCTAAATTCCTGCAGAAAATATTCTGAAATGTCTTTCAACAGCATGAGTTTGCATTACAAATTAGAAAGCTTTATTTGGCCCACTGAGGTCCATGACCATCTGTCTTTCATTCTTTCTCCAGTGTTGTATTATTCTATCTTTTGTTCCATTTTCCCTGTTATTTGCTGCTTTGAGAATTATGGAAAGAATGACATAAATTGAACATGGTGCTACAAAAAAAAAGTCAAAGTCTGGCTGCCTTTTGTCTCTGGCTTAAAAACATAATTGTACAGTAATGAATGCAGCCACAGTTGGGTTGCAAATAAAACCATCTGACTGTTGTAACTGCAGGGTGCAGGCTACATGTGAATCATGCCACCTGAAGTTAGCTTTGCAAAGATAGGACTGATAAAATTCAGTTGTTTGTGTTTGTCAATTATGTATTTGTTTCACTTGAGTTTATTTTCTGCATGAGCTGCCCTGAGTCACAGCTTATTTATGTCTGTGTGTGTGTGTGTGTGTGTGTGTGTGTGTGTGTGTGTGTGTGTGTGTGTGTGTGTAGTCTCTGACAGGCTTTGCCTTGGTGGTGAGCAGTGATGGGATGGTCTTTTATGCCTCCTCGACCATTGTGGATTATCTGGGATTTCATCAGGTGAGTTGAACTCATGTTAGATGTACAATACTGTAACATACTGTATGAATGTATCAGATGTTTGGAAGTGGCAACTTCATCATTTTTCAAGCCACCTTACGCCACATTTCTGTGAAAAAGAGGGTGTGTCCTTCCCTCTGCAATAAACCGGTCATATCACAGCTCAACTTATTACTTAACTTATATACAACATTTTTGACAAATTGTCAGTCATCCAGAGGTCTCCTGTCTGGGCTGAGACAAAAAATATTTCAGGAATTTAAGCACCTGACAAAAAAACATGCAAAAACTATTAGTATTCATCAGGTTTTTTGGTAAATATATAGCTGGAGCCAGCAGCTGGTTAGCTTAGCTTAGCATACACATTAGAAACAGGGGGAAAGTGTTAGCCTCATTATATCTCACCTCCTGTTTCCTAGTCTCCTAGTCTTCTAATCACACGCTTGACAAAAGAGCAAATATTAGCTTATTTCTCAAAATGTCAAATTATACCTTTAAAGGTCCCATATTGTATAAAGGTAGATTTCCATGTCTTTTTTTATCACAAAGCAGATCTAGGTTCTATATTGATATAGTGAAAATATCAAAGCGCTCAGTCCAGAGAGAAATGTACAAATGTCCCTGTATTCAGAAACTTAAAACCAGCCATCAGGACTTCTCTAACTTTGTGATGTCACAACAACAGTCACTATTCTCAGCCATGCCCCAAGCCCCGCCGACCTGGACCCACCATTCAAATTGCAGGATTTGAGTGAGTGTTTACATGAAATCTGCAATATTTTTATTCAATCTCTCAGAAAACAGTCAGCCAATCAGAAGAGAGACTCTGAGCCTCTCTTCTGATTGGTTGACTAATTTTCTGACCTCACCTACCTGTTGTTACTAGAGCTCCAGAGAGAGGAAATGTAAAACTACACTTTTTTAAAACCACAAATATATCTTCTTATGGATCAACACCAGAAATATGGGACCTTTAATATCTTTATCACAATACAATAAATTCCCAATCAAAAACATGTAATCATTTTCACCATATTGGAGGTGAACACTTCTTGATGTCCCATTTTACAGGTAAGCTAATAAATCTACCCAAGCAGCCTCTCAACATAGCCTCTCTAAACGTTATGACTCAACACGTGTCAGAGATCTTAGCTCTGCCATGATTCAACAAGTTCACCATTATCCTTACTTTACCCTCAGCGGTCTTGTCTTTTCTCCTCCATCCATCCCTTTCTACTTTCTTTTCCTCCTCATCCCTTGGCTAATGAGTCAGAGTAAAAAGTCTCTCTTTCCGTCTGCCTCCCCGCTGCCTGATAACTCTGTCTAGAGGGCAGAGTGAACCAAAGAGGCCACAGAGAGGTGAAGACCTCCATTTCACCCTGAGATACACTCTGTGGGTGTGTGTGTGTGTGTGTGTGGGTGTGTGTTTGTGTGCGGGCACTGATAAGTCACCAACGGTTTAGCTTCCTTCCTCTCTAGCGGCAAGACCCAGCCAGTCATTAATTATGGATGATATCAACATGGGCCTGCCTGTCCTGCGATGCTGAAATCATCCTTCTCCTTCAAAACCACGAATAAAGTGCTTTTCACTGTTAAAATCCCTCCTTTGCCTTCATGTTTGCTCGCACACACATATGCACACACTCACACAGCAGACCGACACTTTGAGGTAGAAATTCTTCTGCTACAGCGCTCCCACTTGGCTTACAAGCAGATGGGGGCAATAGCCCAGCGCCATGAAATTGACATGAAAACCAGAGGAGCCTGAAAGATCCTTGCCACAGTGTGTGTGCATATGGGTGTATGCGTGTGTGTGAGTGTGCATATGAGTGTGTGCAGGGTGGCATGGGAGCCAGTAAACACAGACAAAGGAAATTAAAACTGTTAAGTGTATACTGTAAGATATGAGTATGCACGTTTGTGTACTTGTGGCTCAATCAACAGTTTTTAATTTGGCATGTCTTTACAGATCCATATGTTGTTCTTCACATGAGCAGCAAGACAACTTTCAAAATATTGCCGGTGGCAGCGTTTCATGCTGTTGGATGTAAACAAAGAAATCCACTTTTCAGTGTACTTAATGTGAACAAGACTAAGAGGCTGGCTATGCTAACTGCTGTGAGGCTCTTCTTAGGCATAGCTGTGCTTTTTGCACAGATGAAAAACATACTCATATATATATGAGCAGGTACTGTATAATGTTTACCAAGTTTACAATCTTAGTTTAGCATGTTAGCATGATAGCACTTGCTGAACATGGCAGCGAAAGACAAGTCCCATTCATAATCATTCTACAACGATATTTTTTTTAAAAATTCAGCAAATGCAAAAACAGATGTTCAAGAGGAAGAGACGATGTATTGACAAGCACCATGCTTGACTGTGAGCAGAGCCAAAGCATCCCAGCATGGACAGCACCCAAAGCCTTTTGTGTGATAAGGTGATGTGCAACCACCAGAGGAAGAAAGGGTAGTTGACAGTGAACACTCTGTCCTCGCAGTAGATAAAAAATGAAAATCTTTCTTTAAATACTCACAGATCATTACGCTATGTTTCAGAGACTGTCATCAAAAACACTCTTTGACTTTCCCAGATGTTCAGTTTTTGCAAAGGAGCTTTTGGTTGTTTTTAAGTCACGTACTTTGCCACTAAGGCCTTGACAACATGTCACATAATTTTAAGCCCACAATTATAGTCAGAAGGACACTTATCCCTAATGTACCACAGGAAAAAAAGAAAAAAGAACGCTTCACTAAGTAGCACCACAAGAAAGCCCTGGAGAAGAGCAGAAAACCTCCACTGGCCTTTGATCCTATTCGTTACTGGGGCAGTTAGCCTTTGAAGGTCAGCGAAAATATCACTTATTCTCCATTTTTTCCTCTTCTTTTCCTCTCTGTGTTTTTTACGAGAAACATAAACAATAGTCACTCGATCCGTCTGTCTGCCTGACTGCCGGTAGGGAACCAAACCACAGGACGAAGAGCTCGCCGAAGACGGTGGGAACAGATTGTGTTTTCAGAGGCAGGCGATCAAAAACCCTCGCGTGCCACCAGTGTGGAAATTATGGAGAGAGTGCAGGGAGGAGGGAGAGAGGGAAGAAGGGAAGGTTAAACATTTTAGTGAGGAATCTGTCATGGAATGACAGAAAGCACAGCTATTGCTGGAAAAGAGAGAGAGGCATGACGAGAGTGGGCTGGAACCCGACTCACTCTGTGTGTGTGGATGGGGAGGGTAAGCTGGGCTGGACTGCTGTTCGGGAGCCGGTGTCACGCGATGTTTGACAAACACAGCTGCCCTCACTGGCCCTGCAGCTGGCCTTAGACTCTTACTGTACTGGGTAAATGCTGCTGCCTGTGTGTATGTACATGCATATATATGCATGTACAGTAAGTGTTTCTGTGACTTTGTGTACATAGCCCTTGTGTGTGTGATGTGGGAAGCAGACTGAGTGTATCCGAGCAGCACTGACAGGAACCCCCCCCCCACACACACACACACACACACACACACACACAGCAGCTACCAGCTGCATTGATGGCTCTAAGCAGCAAAGCACACTGGTCCAAAGTCAGTGTGCGGATAGTGCTGTTAACACACAGACTCATGTGTATTAAGACTTTGAGGAGATGACATGACTGTGTCTAAAAGTAGAAATGTGTGTGACTATGCACACGTTTTAATGAAATATTTTCTACTCGGTTTCTCCCACAGACTGACGTGATGCACCAGAATGTGTTTGACTACATCCACATAGACGACCGTCAGGAGTTCAGACGCCAGCTCCACTGGGCCATGTGTCCTCCACAGCACCAGGGAACATCTGCCCACCAGGATAACCAGTTACCTGCAGGGACTGGTGAGTAGTTGTGGATGTGGTGATGACTACTACGTCAAATGTTTAAGGGCCCAATCCCAATGTCCACCCTCAGAGACTCACAGAGTTTGAGGCGCATTCCTGGTAAGTCCATGAGGGCTTAAGACTGTCCCACTGTCAAACCACTGAGGGCATGAGGGCTCTCTAGCAGACATTTTGAGCCCTTTCTGCAAGTCCCCATTTCTACAGACTTTGGCTGTATCCAAAATTACTCACTACTCCCTATATAGTCTACTATATAGTAAGTTCGCTATTTTGTAGTGCTGTTCAAATTTATAGTGAGAATTATTATACCCTATATAGTGGACTCATAGTATCCCACAATGCATCATGAAAAGTAGTGTACAACTGATGGTCACTAACCAAGCAACATAAACCATCATGCATTGTGCTCGTGCTGAAACACAGAAAAATGGTGCGGAGAAAATTACCCAAGTAGTGTCCGAAAGTGTTTTTTCATTTTGCTGATGAGCTCACTATATGGTCCTCTGCATAGAACTCCCTGGATAGTGAGTAGGGAGTTGTGAATGAGTGAGTGATCTTGGACACAACCTTCACCTGATGGAATTACCCAAAGTTCATAGCGTTGTGACACAGGGCTACCCTGGTTACCAAAAACAACCACCATAAAACAGAACAAATAATAACATAGAACATAGTTAACAATTGTATGCAACATGTGTTGACATCGTCAAGTTACGTGATGTCACAAAGTACTGTCCCATTCCTCTTTGTACCATTTTTAGCCCTTGCAGCCTTTTGCACTCAATCCCTTACCAGGTGAAATCAATTAAGTGTGTGAGGATTCAAGGCTTAGGCCATCATTCAAGGCTTCCCCATTGGGATTGGGCCTTAGTCATGTTTGGTCTGCCCTGTAATAGTAGATTGCAGATTATTAGTAGCTGATTATTGTCAGTGTTCCTTCTCCCCTTCTCCTGTCTATGAAGCACTTTAACAAATTGCTATACAAATTGCTATACAAATTTGATTATCCTTCTCCTCTTCCATCTTAAACTCTAGGTGAGGACTTTGTAGTCAGCAGCCAGTTTCACTCTCTGGAGGCAGGGGGAATTCCTCCTGAGCTCTCCTGCTTTCTTAACAGATGTTTCATAGCCAGAGTCCGATGCCTCTTGGACAGCACCTCTGGATTCTTGGTGAGTGGTCTGAACCAAACTGCCAGCTAACCTGAACAGTAACTTCAGTTTTTAATGCATTAAAGTGTACTCAAAACATAAAAACTGAGCGCTGAGAAAACGCTGCCCGCTGTCTGGGAGAAGACCCAGGCCTATAAAAAGTATTATGACCCCTTTGGTGCAGCAAAACTTCATTTTTAATTGTAGTGTGCTCAGTTATTTATAGTTGTATTGCAAGGCATTATGAGGTAATTGGGTGATTGGACATAGCAGCAGAATAGGAGCCTGGTTCATCCCTCATGGCTGTGACTAGAGTGGTTTGGAGACCAACAGTGGAAAAACTAGAGGCCCTGATGACAGAGCAACGAGCATATGGGTTTGGACCATTTCATCGGGGTCATCGGAGTTTACAGTCACCAAGACCGCTCTGGTTGCATTGATGCTGGCCGTGCAACAGAAATTCTAGATGGCAATTTTCATACATAAACTGGAAGCACTCATAGCCAAGTAGTGAGCAAATATTGGTAAGATGCTTTCCTCATCAGTCAACATGATTGCAGCAAAGACACAAACTGTCATGTAAGGCACAGCACTCATTCTGCAACAAGTAAAAGGAGCTTCATTCCCTATCAAAAGAATATTATTAATGCTTTATTGAGTGTACCTGCTGTTTCTTTTGGACATATTCACAGCGTGGAGTTACGGATGGCTGAAATATCTCAAAGGCTGATAAAATTCATCCATCAGTCTAAACTGCACTTTGAGTTCAGAGCTTGTTACCAAATGTTTGCAAGCTAACAGGCCAAACTAAGATGGTGAACCTGATAATACCTGCTAATATCAGAATGTTAGCATTGCAGCTGTGAGCATGTTAGCATGCTGATGTTAGTATTTAGCGCAAAACACCCCTGTGCATAAGCACAGCCTCACAGAGCCGCTGACATGGACTCGCTTAAATACTACTGTGTGCGATGTGGTTACTGGTGGATGTATGGTTATTTATCTTATAGAGTATAAAGACACAGTATCTGTATGATCTAAGAAAGGTTGACACTTCCTGAAATTAAAGACCAGTTTAAATTTAAAAAATGGAAATAAGAGTAGATATTAATTTTTTAACATGCAAAAAAAATGCGGTTAATTGGACATTTTTAAACTAGAAACTTCTTCTCTTCTGTCCCAGACTATGCAGTTCCAGGGTCGACTGAAGTTCCTCCATGGGCAGAAGAAGAAGTCAGCCTCTGGGGCTCTGCTGCCTCCCCAGCTGGCACTGTTCTGTGTAGCTGTACCCCTCCTACTGCCCTCCATCACTGAGATGAAAATGAAGAACATGCTAATGCGGGGAAAGAACAAGGGAGGAGCAGGAGGAGGAGGGATTATCTCTGCACTGGAGCATGGGTAAGCATGGAAACATCCTTCCAAGTTTTACTAAAACTGGAGGGCTGATGTATGTTCACACTGTGTCCTACTGTAAAGCCACTGATTGCTCTAATGGGGGGTGCTATACTGTAATTAAAGGTCAATCTTTTTCACACAAACTTGATGTCACAGACTGTGCTGGTCCAAAGCTGAGGTTTGATGCATTTTGGCACCTTGTTACAGCCTCTAGGAAATTACATTGATTGGCCTGATGGGGGAGCTAGAAGTAAAGGTCAAAACTTAAAACTTTGAAAGGCCACAGCCGCTACATCATCGGTTAAGTTTAGTTGAAGCACTTTGTCACCCATGATGCACTTTGTCACCAATCAGCCCAGAGATGCTTTCATAATTCATAAAGGATGACATGTGTACTTTGTTAATGTACATGTTAAATCATGCCTTGACTAAGATCCATGAGACAAGAGTAAAGGAAACACATTCAAAACAGTGAGACTGCCAAAAAAATACATGTGCACCAGTCCTCATGTGTTATTGATTCATTTTTTGGGTTATACATATTCTAGAGGTAGGCTACCAGCTTATGACTCAGCAACAGCTTGATGAACGCACAAGCATTTACCCTGGGACCCAGTTACCAACACAAACATGAGGCCTTTCCTGACCCAGCAGGCTCTGACACCAAACCAAATGAGCGCTGGACGCCTTACCTGTGGCCAATTAGGAGCAAATACATGTCTCAGTTTGAGTGAGGCCCGCTGTGCTTCATGCATCATTGACAGCTTTGGGAAGCTGCAAGGCCAAGAGTTGAGCTGTAGTCGGTGAGCAGAGGCCTACCACCCCCTCTGCTGTTCATTCTTTCTCTTCATCATCCAGAGAAACACTGATAATGTTAGAATGTTTTAGCAAAAATCCAACAGTAAGTAGACAGCAGGTTGGCTGTTTAGATGGGAGGCCTTCAGGTTTCTTAGGGTGAGTCTTCAGTATGAGAAGACTGCTATACACGACACCTGATTTGAAGGAAAATGACTACAGGTTAGCGCAAGTGCATCTTTTCCTATAATGCACCTGAAAATGTATTTATTTTCACACGCGATGTTGATGAAAAGACACATATTACCTCCTACGTGTGTTGTGTTGAAACATATGGAAGAAACTTTTTAAAATAGCCTAATTTCAAAATTAGGATGTTTAGTAATATACAATGCACTTGAATAACACAGGTTAAGCTTGATAACCTCATAACTCTTGTTGCAGAAAAAATGCTTTTTGAAATTTTCTTCTTGCTAATAAAGCTATTTAAACAATTGTCCTGCATTTTTCTGGCATAACAGAAGTCAATTTATTCAATTCAGCCCAGTTAATCAAAAACAAATCATATTATTATGGGTGTTTTAAGAGTGTGAACTACACTCTAAATTCTTCTAATCATCTTCAGCCATTCTGGTGTTAGCCTTATTAAAAGCTTCCACCTGCATATTAATCAACACTGGAAATTGAATGTGTCATTATATCTTAATCACTGATTGATCGTGACATTCACTTTGCCACAGGTTCGATGGCAGGTGATCAGAAAGTATAGTTTAAAAAGATTATCACACACAAAACAGCCAAGGGCTGTAACACAGAAATGAAGACAGTGTATTGTTCTGCCTGTAAACTCGGAGCGCTGGTCATCATTGATCTTTGGGCTCTGGATGTTGACTCTGGTCTCAATTTACAGATGAGACAGATCCCGGAAAAGATGAGTCACTTCTGGAACAATTCTCTCATGAACTGAAGTGAACCAAACCTAGATGTTTGTGCTTTGAGTAATTCCTCAATCAGTAGAAAAAAGCTTTGTTTGTGGACATTCCTGTTTGGATATCTGGGCGGATTAATGATATTTTAAATGTCGTCAAAGAACAGAAAGATCACACAGACCAATTTGTCTTCTTGTTCTGTGACTAATGATCTCTTCTCTTTTCTCTGATCCCTCTGTCCTCCCCACCCCACCCTCTCCCTCACAGTGAGCGAGGGGAACACCTTCGGAGGCACTCCTTCAGTGGGGGAATGGGTGACATAGCAGACCCTCTCCTCCTCTCATGTCCCACTCCTGGTGGTACCCAGCGAGGTCACCACACTCCCTGGACCCCGCTCTCCAAAGATAACCTCAAGTACCGCCCTGATGGATACTACAACCAGGAGGAGCCCCTAAACTACTGTAAGTCCTCCATGGCTTCCCATAAAGGCCTCAGCCCAGGCCTGGGTGGCGGCTGGCCCCTGCGGCCAAACTCAGGTCCCCTCAGAGCGGGCCAGGGTATGGGCTACATCCCCTCTAACCGCGTGAACAAGGCCGGTCAGTACGGGAAGCCATACCGCCTTTCCCCGAACTACCACAGCAGCAGAGGTGGCGAGGTGTTTGTGTCTAAGCTCTATGGGAACATCCAGATTCCAACAGACCCAGATGCGTACTGCGTGGACCTGGTGAAGAGCGAGAACGGCTATGGAGAATGCTATGATGGCCATCTAATGCCCGAGATGCCCCCCATCAAGGTAGAGCATGACTCAGACTCTGAAAACGGCTGCGATGCCTATGGGCGACCCTGGGCTTGCCGCGACCCAGAGGCCATCGACCGTCGCTATGGTAATGGGATATACGACCAAAGCTCCGGCCTGCAGCTGAAATCAGAGGCAGATTATTATGATCCGCAGTACTCGCCCTGTCAGCGAGGGAAAGCAGGCATCAGCCCACCGTACAACAACGGCAACTATCACAACTATGCAGTCAACAACAGCGGGAATACGGCCGCACGTCTGTTAAAGTGCGACAAAGACATGGGAAATAACAATGACAACAACCAGTTCAGTCCTCAGAGACTCTCCCATTCAGACTCTCTATGCAGCAACCAATCTGTCAACCTCATGGACTCACACGTCTACCCACAGGACCCTCACAAGGCCTACATGCAGCCGGACTACAACAAGCATGGCACTTATGAGTTCAAAGGTCATGGCCTGATCCATTCAATCAAACGGGAGCCCATGGACTCCCCACCGTGGTCTGAGAGCGGTCATGACATAAACCAGTCCATGATGGTTGGGCCAAGGAACGTTATGCCATGTGTGATGAGCACAGGCCACCACAAGTCCAGTCCTTACATTTATATGCAGTAAGAGTGATTGGAGTGTTACCCACCCACACACACACACACACACACAACACACACATAAACAATCAGTGTGCATTACAGTGCTTTGTGTTATTATTGTTCTCATACACACACACCAGCATAACAAAAGGACTGTCTTTGATTATGATGATTCCCAGGATGTCAAGCACCTCTTCAACTTGACGGAGAGGTAACAAAAAGGCTCAGGTTCTAGTGTTAGTGTTGTGACAATCAGAAATACAATTTTTAATCCAGTTTATGGATAGATGATTTTTGTTTTTAAAGAATACATTTTGTAGTTGTTTCCAAGCACTTTTGGATTTAGTGACAATGAGACAAATTATGTCTAGAAACACCATTTCATTTCATTCTTTGTGTTGTGCACACCTGGCTTTTGTGGGTGGAACAAAGATTTTGCTGTAAAAAAAACTTTTCTTTTTTTTTTTTTAGATGATTTAACACCTGTTACTGGGCTTATTCAAAGGAGATGGCTGATTATGAGAACACACTTAGACATCAGTGATAACAAGTTACAGCTTAATCTGCCTTGAAGATTTCAAGGAGCCTTTTGGTGGTTTTGCATGTTTTAGTGCTTCAACTATAAATCGCCTACTTTATTCATTACCGCCTCCAGTGATGTATGAATGGAAATTACCAGTTTCTATGCATTTTAGTAACCCTTGTTATTCAATCAACATGCAAATACTTGAAACTTACTTGAAATCCACTGCAGTAAAAAATTGTTTGGTCAAAGTTTTAATGCAGGACACAACTAAATTCACATTTTTTACAACATTTTTTGTGGTCTGAATTAGACTTTCCAAGAGCAAAGCTTACGATGCAATGCTTTTTTCCGAGCATCCTTGAATACAACATTAATTACTACTTGCTACAGAATCCTTTTCAAAACTTGACAGTAATGTAAAGTATATGCAATTTGTAGTTAATGGACCAAAACATGTAAAACTATCAGTATGGCAAAAGCTTTAAGTATATTCACTACATTTGTTTATTCAATTAGAAACAGCCTGATTACACACATAAGGGCAGCAGGGGGGGCACAGTAAGTGGGGAAACAAACCCTCAACCACAAACCTGTGGCTCACGCATGTGTCCCACTGAAGCACTGCTGAGCAAGGCACTGAATAATAACAAGTCCTACAGGTACCGCTCTGTACTTGCTCCTCAGCTCTGACCTCCTTGTAGAAAATAGAAATAAAGTGAAATATAGAGTGCACAGTAAAAAAAAAGCATAAGGATGACGAAGGCAAAACTGATTTAAAAGTAACATTTAACCGCAATTGAATTGACATGAAAAGCGAACAACTCAATTTAAATCACACTAGAATTGAACCTTTAAATTGCAGGACCTAAGAAAAATGTTAAATGATTGATATATTCATTATCAGCTGAAGGTTTGTCTGGACAAGTGTTCGACCAAATTGAAGGAAAAGAGCGTGTTGTTAAAAGGTTCGATTTTGATGTGCACAAAACTTTCATCATTTTCAAACTCTGGTTGAATGTACAAATAATATAAATTTATGTCATTGTATGTCAAAGCTAATGTTGTACAGTTTGGATCGGACATTCAGCTCAGTACAGCCTGCCTCACCGCCGGCGTGACACGTTTCCTTTGAGATAAATATACACTTTCATGTTTCATGTCTTTTCAGTCGCAAAACATCAGACAATGTCTTCACAGTGTTTTTGCACAAATTAATTAAAAGCACCAAATTGATTCAATGTCAGAGTCTCGGTTCTGTGACGCTACTGTAGTAGTTCCTAAATTGCACTACTGGGAGTAGTTCAGTTGAAGTTCAGCCTACCCAGACAGGTTTTTGAGTCGACACGCACAACTGTACATGGTGTCACTGTTTTGAATTTGTCTTTTTCTCTTTGTGTGTGTTCATTTCAATAAATGTTTGATGATTCGTATTTATTGTAAGAGGCAAATGTGTATAATTTAAAAATTGCAGTTTTGAAGGCTTTTCTGTTTCACTAAGGTAAATAAATATGGCTTTTTTTTCTTGCTCTCTTTTTGATAATTGTTTAAAAAAAGACTGTCATACTTGTCTCATGGAGGCGGTAGCTGCAAGGTAGCGAACACAGTGTACATATGCAGTGTCTTCCAGTGTTTCTACGTGTTTTTGCAAATGGGACTTATCTATTAAAAGACCTTTCTTCATATGGAAAATCTGAGTGAAGTGTTCTTCTTTCGATTCTTTTCTTTTAAACAAGTCGAGTAACATGAGCATGTGATGGCAAAAAACATATCCACAGTAATGAGATTACAGATGATTCATTATTTAGATAATGAATATTACGCAGGTGTAAACGACAAGTATTCCTATTAATCATTTGAAATGTGTAATAAATGGGTGAAGGCATAGTGTGTGTGTGGCTTTGTGAAAGAAACACACTCCTCTGCAAACACTTAGTGTAACATTCAAATTACTTTGTTCTAAAATGCATTAGATAATCCAGAGACAATTTTAACAATGGCACATAATTATCATAGAGCTCAAACCAAATAATGCAAAATACAACAAGGTCATTCTAGTAACCTAATGGTTCCCTGCTCTCATAAACACAATGAAAAATGACCAAATTTTATTGTTCAGTTAACGTCCTTGTCTCTTTGGTAGCTTTTGAATTTTTCACATGCAGCAAATGTGGTCTCATCCTTCAGATTTGTGTCTCTATTAATAATTAATACTCAGCAGAACAGGATACAGAGTATCTCTAGCCACATTGCCTGTATGATTAATGTGCTGTAAAGTTGGTATGACAGCTCCTTCACACGATCTGAGAAACTTAACACTCATCTCTCACCACTGTCTGGGACAAGGGCTAGAGTCAGGGAAATATTGGCATCCACAGAGAGGGAGAGGGCACGAAAAGAGGCAGTGGACAGAGAGAGGAAGAAAAAGCTGTGCTTGAATCCTGGTCCTCAGGATTCCCAGGACAGCTGGATTTCTAGCGTACTCTATAGTTAATTGTATTCACTTAGCACATCGGGTTTACAATAGTCTAAGTTATCCATTGTTCCTTTTGAACAGGTCAGCAATTTCAAAATCATACAGTTTGGATGTCATATAAAAACTGCATTGTGACAGAGAGATTGTAATCTCAATGCAAACGATTATAATAAGATTATTATGTAATTTATAGAGACTCTGAGAACAGGGTCCAAAACTGTCATTTTCTACACAGTAATACAAATCTGTTCCTTTGACCACTCCTTGCATACCAACTGTCCCTGTTTCTTAAAAGTGCTTTTGCAAGGTCTAGCTGTCCAACAACAAACCATCTAATGTCCTTATATCTATTTGATGTAGATAAAAAAAGAGACCTCCAGGATCATATGGTTGCAGATAATTTTATGACCCCCGATTTAGAGATACGAACAGAGCAAACACATTGTACCAAACATTAATGGACAAACAGTTACAACACTGGGACATGGAAATGTGAAAAAAGATTGAATTGAAATGAAAATGACTCACTGAAATGAATTTACAGTAACTGGTACTCGAGGAACAGCAGTGGCCAAAGTCATTTGACACACTGGGGCTTTTTGCCAAAAAAAATCCAGAGTGTCACATTATTCTATTCTAAACTCTAAAACTATTTTAGTTATTAGGTCCATTATATATTTAACAGCCACCAAGACTAATATTTAGATTCTCTCTCTGGCACTCGCTGGCCGGGTAGACACAGCAGTAAGTGAGTGAAACTTTTTCAGCACGTGCTGCTGGAGTAGCAGAATGTCACACTCATTCCTAATCTGTTGTTTATCACAAATACGTAACGTTAGTTAACGTTAGAGCTGGACCTCAGTACCAGTGGGGGCAGTGACTCGAGGTCTTGCTTGAAGATAAATCAGCATCTCTCATTTTACTAGCATCCTGCTGCCAGAGTTCTTGAGGTGACACAAAACTTTGTCAAACAGAAACAGAATTCAGATTTTATAAAATTGTTCTCAGCCATCCCCTGCTCACCTGCACCAGGCCCCTCACTGGTCTGCTCTGATCTGTAGGAGCAAACCTCTCCACTGATTATATTATTATTTGTTTGTTTCACCACAGTCAGAGTATAGTGTTACAGCTGTATGTGTATAGTGCCTGGTGCTCTGTTTGTCCCTGTTTGTCACCAGTGAGGTGCACCTGGCCTTGGAATGAAATGCTTTAAATTCCCTGTGCTGGCATCAGAAGGGACATGGAGGCCTGGGATTAGCTGTTGTCTTTTGAATTTGTGTCTTTTGTAGTTTTGATTAGGTACTCTGGTTGTTTTGTATATTTGTTATTAACTTCCATGGATTTGGTGGTTTTAATGGTGTTTTCTGTGGGTGATTTGGGTCAGCGGTGGAGTGTTGCATGCCCCATATAGGGTCACCCAAGTGTGGGGCGTAACAATAGGTTATAGGGCATTACAGGGTGCACCAGGATCAGTGGAAGGATTTCACTTATGGGGATGACTGTGAGTGTGTATGTTCCGGTGTGTGTGTGTGTGTACATGTCTTTCTATGGTTGTGTGGACACATTTTGGTTTGAAACCATCATTATGAGGACATTTTGGTGGGTCCTCATAATGAACTTCAAAAGGGTGTTTGAGGATTAAGACTTGATTTTAGGGTTACGGTTAAAGTTAGGTTTAGGTCAGGGTCAGGTTTAGGGCATTCTGTTATGATGGTTAAAGTTAGGGTAAGGGACTAAGGAATGCATTATCTCAATAACGGGTCCCCATTGATATAGTAAAACAAGGGTGTGTGTGTAAATCGCAGATCAGCTTATGTTTGTTTACAAATTAATTAAAAGGAAATCTTGTTATGATCTTCACTTCTTTAGTCATATTATATAAATGATATCCACTATGTAATTAAAAATACAACATTCATATATAGAACAGGTTCAGTGTAGTGTATCACATTTATTTTGCAGTATCGTCTTTCTTTTTTAAAGATTTAGGCTTTTTGGTTCATTTTACAAGTATCCTGTTTAAAACAACATAAAATGAAGCAACAGAACAAACAAGACCAGAGAAAATTCTTTTGTGGCTAAACTAGCCTCTACTATCACTGGATTTAATACAGTAGCTAGTGGTTAATAACATCCTGCATCAAAAACCACATAAGCCACTCAGTGTGGTGCCTCACTGTTCTCTCACTGGTTTACAGCCCATCCCAGGATGGCACCACTTTTCCTCCCACCTTACTCTCGACTCCTCAGCCCCACAGTGGCGCTGGATGTCTGGATGTCTGGAGCTGCTATTTCTATATTTGTAGCTATTTCTATACATGCACTGTATGTATAATGAATATGTATAGTATTAGATTGAATTACTTGAATCAATTTAGTTTCATTTTGTGCACTTGGAACTATTCTATGAATACAAGGCAAAATAAAGAAAAAATAATAAATAAGATAAAGCCTATTGAAATCCAATAATAGAACCTGGTTTCTGCAAAAAAAAAATAAAAATAAAAACAGGTAAAAGACAGTAGTGATCCATATTATAATGTCTTTTTTCTTGTTGGGAGACAGATGTCAGTGTTGTGGTCCCAGAGTTGATCTGGTGTTTTGGTAACATTAGTGTGACAGTAATTTGGAAGAGAGAGTATCTGTTGTGCTGAGCTGTATGTTGGTAAACGGAACTGTGTGTAAGAAATGTAAAAGTACACTTCCCATAAACCAAGCTAATTGCTCTGCAGTTATAACATGGCCCTTTACGTGTCAGTGCTGATGTTTAGTACACCCATGTAAAGCCCAGACGGCTGCACAGGAGAACCATTCACTTCCTCTTGACAATTATCAAACTAAAATCCCACTTCCTCCTGTAGTCCTGAGAGGAAGTGCTGCATCCAGTTTAGGAACTTCAAACATTCATATTTCACCTTTACAGGGTATCTTTAAGGATTTGCCTCTGAGTTTGTTTACAGCACTGCAGGGCTGGTTGCACAGTTAACAGTTACTGCTAGAAAATGAATGAGGTTCATTACTTTGCAGTTGGCAAGGAGACGTAAAATAAAGTACGGGGGAATAATAGCAGTTAAATGATATTCATAAGTCATCCTGATCCATAGAGTAATAGTCCATGAAAACTGTATGTGTTATTCAGTTTCATAACTCTGGCTTGAAAGGAAAACACAGTAAGGTTTGTGTTATTTATTTGTTACTTTTATGTATGCGTACCTTTTTTTATTGGAAGTACTTGTAGTTTTTCTGACTAGACTCAAACTGTGGTCAATGAATATGAAAAAGGATAATGAAATATACACACGGCTAACTATGTAGTTTAATAGTCTCAGAACAAAAGAGAAGCGCAGTGCTCTCCTGTGACCTTACAGGGATCAAGCTCTTTAATCTGAATTACAAATGCAATTGTGTCTCTTACACACATACAGGTCCTCATAAGTGAGTTCATGTGAAACAGTGTGTAGCCTTTCCCTCTCTTTTCCCCAAAGGAGTTCTCTGCCTTTGTCTCACTGTAGTTTCATGACTGATGATGTGACAATGAACTTTAAATGTTTAATATTCGTCTTCATGCACGCAACCTTCCATCACGCCATCTGTATGACACTTGTCCTGCCCAGGGAGGGGAAAGGGTGAGAATGACAAGGAAGAGAGGAAGAGAGTGAGAGAGACAAAGAGACAAAACCTAGAGGTGCGAAAAGAGAAGTTAGTTTGGGAAAAGGGTGAAAACAATGAAAAGAGCACATCCAATCAAGAGGGAGGAGTGACTGCTTAGGGCAACTGTAATATAAGCAAAGTGTTTGATGCTTGTTGACAGCTGTATCTGTGAGGGGGAGTGTGTGTGTGTGTGTGTGTGTGTGTAGACCAAGACCTATAATCCTATACTATGCAAGGTTGCGTGACCGTTCATACCCCACTCTTTGCTGTTCCGCACACCATTTGCCCTAATTGGCCACACCAACTCTCTGTGTCTTTCTCCCACACGCTAATACACACTCATATAGGCAGATGCACCAGTGCATACATAGACACAACAATGTCCACGTCTCCTCTCCCCATATCCCCGGTGACAATGAGGAGAATCCTTGAGGGTATGTCACAGACACGCATGTGCATACACATATGTATGCACATTATCATGCACATATACACACACCCTACTAAGCATATGGATGACAGTCACGCAACCCCCCACCCCCACGCATAACCCCCACAACCTTGCCACTTCTTCACTACAATTAGCTAATGAACAACAAACAGACCTCCTTGCCTTATTGCTTACTTTCCTTAGCTGCGTCAGTGCCTAAATCAGTGATCTCCATGTGTGTGATGTACCCCCACAGCCCTGTCATATGAACACACCTTTAGACTACCCATCATGCTTCAAATATATTCATTTGAAATGTTAATGTTTAGGGCAGTTTAGATAAGTTTGTAGTACCACTTGACTTAGATGTTTTAACCATTACTTTAAGCTTATTGTTAGCTTGCTAGCTATTCTCACTGACAAGTACATGTTGAGGTCTACAAGTACCCCTAGTTGGGAATAAGTGCTCTAAAAAATAAGATGAAAGAAACGTTCACAACCATTTTCTCAGTCCTAAAGATTTGAAAAATAATAATCTGCTGAATGTGATGGTGTTCAGTGTGAAAGTCAAATGGTTTATGTATGAGCCTAGGGGCGACTAGCCAGTTGAAAGGTTACTGAGTGCAACCTGGTGATTCATAAACTAGATATGCAGGCAGCAGCTGACTGTGAGTCATGAGCATGCACGCACATATGCAACACACAAGAAGGCAAACTCACTTCACTTACACAGATACCCACAGTGCTTTACAGAAATGTCCCCAGAAAGCCACCAATTCAATATCTCAAGTTTTCCTGCACATGCACATGTATCCACACACACTGCCACTGTCAATCCCCTGAGACAGGACCAGCAAACATGCTCAGAAACTACAGGACTAAAGTGAATGCTCTAATAATTTCCATGTGAGATTAGGAGGAAGAGTACAGTGAGATTATGGAGTCACAGCCTGCACTGTTTGTTTTGGGTTGCGTTCATGCTCTAGTTGACAGATTAATCTGTGAAGGTTACAAAGATAGATGCTGCTGCTGCTGCAGTCTCTCCCGCTGGGAAATGCTTCTACCTACTGGTCACAACTGCACACTGCAGCTGAGGAAGAGCCTCATTTAAACCTTGGATAAAATTTACACTGAAAAATGGCACCGGCTGCCACACAATTGCACTTTTCTGTTGTCCATCACTCCCAATATGCCAGAAGCTTCTGGGGAGAGACCCACTTGACACTGAATGTTTCAAAAAGTAGCTACATGCCCGGTCCCTATCATGATAAGTTATTCTGTGGTAGTAACCGGCTAATATAAAATCTGTTAAAATAGATAACTAATATCTTGGTCTGTAATCACATGGTGGGTCAATCCAGTTTCAGTTACTTACATGTACAAATACAATTACAGCCACAAAATACCTAAATCCTGATAACTAGAACCCTAAAAAGAATAACTGAATGGTCCCAAAAAGTCCATCCCATTCCAGTCCAAACATTAATCCAATAGGCAAGATACACAATCAGAAAAAAATAGTAAATGAAAATAATAGCACTGTAACCAATTCTGAAGACCCCAGCCTTTCATGGTAAACAAGTTTTAAACATATTTTAGTAGCAATTTTTTATCTTTTGCCTCGATTTAAGTTTTCGACAAACTGTTATGGGCAATAATAGAAAACAGTCATATCCTAAATTCAATGTTTCTGTGTACAAACATTTTATTCCTCTATCATCATGTTAACAAATATTCCCAACTACTGTCAAATCACACCAAAGAGCATCTCTTTGTAGCAGTAACTGGCAGTTCTCCACAGCGATACATCAACACATGCATTTGATCTGTTAGAGCAATGAACAACAATACTTTAAAGTATTTTTCTCCAAACTAAGAAAACATGCCCTGTGGTTGTTAGAACTGTGGGAAAACTTCGTGTGATCTCTGATCTGCAGCAGGTATTTTGCCCCTGCCAGCAAATGGAAAACATCTGCTTGGTCATGTGGTACGGCCACAGGTGGAACGGACTTCAAAGTTTCCACCTAGAGAAAGCAGTGCACCAGCAGTTTTCTGCCCAGTGTGAGTCACTGAGGATTTAAGGGTTTTGACCTACAATGGCAAGCACTTAATCAGTGGGTTTAACTCAGAATGACTGAAAATACCACTGTGGTTTTGTCGCTCAGAGAGTGGTGCTATATGACTGATTTGTGCTAAGATTACTAAGGTAACATGAGAAAGTAATTACCAGTAAAGCAGTGGAGAGACTGAGATTCAACAAAATACTAACTTTATTTTTGTATTTACATCCATAATCTTCTTATTGAAGCAGTGTACAGACATTCATATCACCTCAGTATTATTCAACCTTTAGTCTCTGTGGAGTTTGTGTAGGTTTGTAGTGGGCTACGATCTGAATCAGGATGAAGCAGTTGATGATCAAGAAAAGCAATCCAGCGAGCCAGATCAACAGGAAGGTGTTGTAGCCCTCAAACTCCAGGAAGTAGGCTGGGCCCAACCAAATGCCCTGGTATTAGAGAGACATTATAATGAGGTCAATTTTAGTTATTTCATTCAAAACCTTTGCAAAATAAATTCAGTGGCGTATCTACACAGTGCAACATGAGACCACAGACGGATGCAAAACAACTCCCAGCCACATTTGGAAAGCATCAGGGGGACTACCTTTTAAAATTCATCATTTTCCAGGGCATCTTGTTATGATGTTAAGATTTTTGCTGAAATCAAATTTAACTGTAACTCAAAATGTGCTAAACTGAATTACCTGTCCAGCAAACCAGAGCAGCAGCAGTCCCACTCCCTGTTTTAGTGACAGACTCAGGTGAGGGATAACCAGAGGGAGTAAGCACAGGTACCACAGGAAGTACTGCAAAAGGATAACAAGCAACTTTGTTCATCTATGTGAAGTTATGTAAACAAAATATTAATACAAACATGATATTGAACTAACTAACTAAAACTAATGACTGTTTGATATCAAATTGAAATTAAGAAAATTAATTGTTGTATATTTCATTAGTATAGTTAATGTAATTTATTTTTTTACAACTCATCACAGCCCGAAATGTAATCTGGATGACTGACAGGGGAAAGGGAAAAAACAGAGGGGTTAGGGCGCTGTCTGATATCTACTTAGACTCTGTTGGTTGATGGTGGTTCATGTACCTGTGAAGTGCAGACTTTGTTGAAGGAGACGAAGATGGCTGTGTGGAGGAAACAGGAAAAGGCCAGGTCAGAGTGAAAGGCCCATGATGCTGCCAACAGCAAGACGAGCTGTGGGATAAAGGCAGCCAGGCCAAGCCACTGGCTCCACCTGCTGTCTGCTCCAACATAAGACAAAAGAAACTTAAAAAGCTGCATCACCTCCTCTAAGTTTACACTCCCTATTTATTAACACAGACCAGCAAAGAAAATGCCAAATGAACATACGTGCAATTTTATAACTGATTTTATAAACAAGCACCTCATCACTATTGACCACAAGCAGTGTATCTCTGCATGAGCTAGAACTTTATGCTGGTCTTTGCTCTGTGGTTCTATATACTGCAAGGTGTCACACTTGGAAGCTATAAATGGTCGAATGGATGAATACCTGCAGTGAGGTAGAGCATGTAGAAGTATGGAGAGAAGTTGTGTCTGATGTCCCTTCTGGTCAGATGGTACAAATAGGTCTCATGAAGGAACTCCCAACCGTACCTGACAAGACAGGAAAGGATTATGATAACATGATTTGAGAATTTCTATTCAAAGAAATGAAAAGTTTGTGTATTTGTTCAGATAAGAAGACATGCTAATATTGAGTCAAATCAAAAATAGATAAATCAGACATTTCAAGCATCTGGCTCCACATTTTTACCATTAAACTACTATTAATACATCTGAAAGACTTGGACTAATTATGTATTTGGTGTTATTGCTAGAAATGACAACTCAATATTTAATACTTGTCTGTGATGGAAAGCAACTACACTCACATGTAATAGAAGAGAGCTGTGAGCACACAGAAAACTCCCCCAGCCACACTCGCAAAGAGGAACAGCTGTGCGTTGAGGAAGCTTCCAATGAACCCAATAAACCTCCTCCAACTCTGTCTGTCCCTCTCTGCTCTGGTCTCTGGTGTGCGCAGGGTCAGAGCAATGGGCAGAGCATATGTAATGGGGTAGATCTTCATATGGACTGACAGGCCGTACAGAATAGCTGCCCATATGAGACGCCGGCCTGGAAGAAAAAAGGTAAAACGATTAGCAAAGAGCTGTTTATTTACATTATAATATTAGCAATATTGACATTATTTTACAGAGCTCAAGACACACACAGCAGCCACCCCCTTACCTTCCATACAGAGTAATGTCCCCAGCACCAGGGCTGCCAGGATGGACTCAGCGTTCCCTCGGCTGGATACTCCCATGGGCAGTGGGTTGAGGAGCCACAGAGATGAAACACGACGCGCAGTCTGAACATAAATCCCCCAAAACACACAACTTTATCTGTACTGCACTTTTCCACAAAACAAGATTAAAGAGTTGTTTGTGATTGTAGTCAAAAGTTATGACTGACAAACCTCAGAGTCCAGACCTCGCAGGCGAAGGATTCTATAGATGAGCAGTCCGGACAGGACGTCACATAAAACAAACAGGATCTTGCCAAACACCATGCTGAGATAGATGTTGGGGGTTAGAAGCCAGGCTAGCAGAGGAGTGTAGCGGTAGGTTGACCTGTTGTACGGCGACTCACCCTGTGCAAAAATTGCCCACATTGAAATGATGAATGTAAATATCAGCATGATAAAGAATTTAAGAAGGTATCCAGTAAAAACAGTCTGTTTAACTGTTATAGATGACATGTCTGTTAACCACAGTGTAGAGATACTCTATTACATGTAAAAGTGCATCCTGCATCCGTGTTATATTATTGGCTCATTATTATTGATGTATGAACATGAAGTAAGCAGTACTGAGGGGGAGCAATGTTTATGTGCATCATATAAATGTCAGGAACTTGAATTTCTAAGAAGCATCACATTTTATGATGATTTATGATTTTATGTTTTACTGTAAAAGCTTAATCTGAAAGGTTTAATTATAGTTAATAAATATATGTGGAGGAGTAAAAAGCAAATATAGGTTTGAAATTCGGCAAGAAAGTAGTAGTGCCACAGAAAAGTACAATAAATGGCAAATAATGGCGTAAAATTCAAGTACACCACAAAAGTCAGTATCTCCCACTACTTTTTTTGTTTGTTTTTTTTAAACCCAGTGACACTGGAGTTAGATTCCGATTCAGCAGTTCAGGGGAAACTGAAGTTTCCCCAACCAGACCACTTCAGACCAAAGCAAAGACCACTCTACAATCAGGGAGTTTATATACCTTATAAATCAAATTTAAAGATTCGTGAAACTCGTATTCCATTTTAGAAAAGACTAAATAGGGAGATTTCTCAGCTTTTCCCCCCACCTACACTGTACTTGAACTACATCTGAACTAGATTATCAGGGAGGGTGTAAAAACTATTTAAAACCTGACACATTCAGGGACCTGACAGCTTTACCTGACCACTTTATTGCTGTCACAAGTCATTATTCAGTTACCTCAGTGATGAACCTTGCAGCATCGGTGAACACATGGTAGTCAATGTCGGTGTACTTGACCACCATAGTCCGGTCCTGGTGGTCTCCATAAGCGACCAAAGCGAGTCGCACAGCCAAGGAAGCCGAGAAAAGGACGTGTTTGTTCGTGAGCCTGGAAGTCAGCCGCTCCATCACCAGCCGAGCAGGGGAACCAGATTAGCAAGAGAAGCTAAGTCGACTAACTATTTTGAGCTGGAGCACGTTGACCGAACCATCCGTTCCTCAATGGCCATCTCAACCTCCAGACATGTCTTAAAATATTACCGACATGTTTCATTGACAAGTTCTTGAATGACCAGATTCCAAACTTGACAACCAGGAAGATTTCCGGAACTGCTTTTACAAACACTTTCAGGCACCAGCACCACCTACTGCTCTGGAGGACCACGCTTACACTGACAAACCTGATCCCTCTGAGCACCAACGAAGACATTGCTTCTCTGTTGGTGTTATTTAACACTATGTCGACCAATATTTCCTGTATGCATCACTGCGACACTGTTCTCCACCTATCAGCTGTGTAAAATCCAACCCTGTTTGTTTCCACAGGTGGAAAGTAACTAAGTACATTTACTCAAGTACTGTACTTAGCTACACATTTGTTTTTTCATGTAAGCTTACTTTATACTTATACCCACATCTCCCCTCTGAACTTCTCAGATGGTTTCATTTAATAGTTTGATGACTATAACATTTTCCTATAGAGTGTGATTTTTTGCAAATGCTAAGGTTAAGAAACAGTACATGTAGCCTATGTTTGTTTTTTATGGGTGGGGGTGTTAACTTGCCCCATAGGTGAATATGATAGTGGACTGTGCAATGTGTGCAGACTGTGGGTCTCAGCTCTGGATCCTCCTTCCTTATTGATTGGCGTCCCCTGGTAAGCAGCAGTCAATCGGTCCGTCTAGGGGTACATAATGCACGAGGAACTGCACTTCACTCTCACTGCCTGCTTACACCCTGAGTATGTTGTCATGGAGTCTTAGGATCTAAACTATGGCCCTGTGTTTTTGTGCATTGCTGGGGAGTTAAGTTTAGCATTGTACCCTTTTCTTTTGTGGGTTTCAGGCCTATTGATGTTTCTAGTTAGGGCCGTTTGGTTTGTTATTTTGGCCTGGGCTCTCTCTGAAGATAAATTATGCATCCAAGACTGGCATTAAAAGATTGTATAGGTTGTATCAAAACTTCAATATTTCCTCTCTCGCTAATCATCATGAGATGATTAGCGAGGAAGCTTCCTTTACTAAAGTAAAGGAAGCTGGTACTTCCTTCAAAATCTTTCTACAAAATAATTCTACATTGCTCAGATAAGATACTT